ATTTTTGACAATTACTATTTGTACACGGGGTGTATGTACCCGGGCGAAATAAAATTAATACCGTGTACCATACACTCCGTGTACAATTATAAATTTTATATCAAAAAATATTTTTGATAATGATAATGTTGACTATTCTCAGGAAGAAAGAACTCGGGTGGATGATTTACGTGGTTCTCCAATGGGTGTGTGATCTCTGGAAGAAATCATTGACGATGATCATGCAAAGGTTTCTTCTTCTGCGAGAACAGAATATTATGTCAGCATCTTATCATTTGTAGATGTTCAATTTTGTTACATCATAAGGTATATACAAAAGCGCGTATTTTATTTGTTGTTTTATTGGTCCACTTATTTAACATATACACATAATAGGCTATGTCTGTTGTCGGTGTACTTCAAGATGATACTGACCTAATGGTTAGTGTTATGAAACTTTACAGAATCACATGCAGATATTGGTGTTTTAGAATAACAAATTCAAGGAATCAAGGATCCGTAGAATTATTCCTAACACATCCAGAACTTTATGAAGTCGTTATCCTATATGGGGTCCTGGGAACAGGTAAATTTAACATTTCTATCAACAAGGTATTTACAGATCAATAGTAAATATCTCTGTATATGCAGGTAAAACACTTTTGGCTAAAGGCGTGGCGAATCAAGCATCTGCAACTTTTCTGTGCGTTATGGGTTCAGAATTGATCCAAAAATGGTCCAAAACTTGTACGCAAATTATTCCGTGTTGTCGAAGAACATGCGCCTTCCATTGTATTTATTGATAAAATTGATGCTATTGGAACTAAACGGTATATAGACATGAATCTTATTTTGATTGAATTTATAATTTTAATTGTCATTATTTTTTAATTCATTATTCTTACTATTTTTTTTAAATCGACACCAATTCAGGTGGTGAAAGGGAAATTCAAAGAACTATGCTAGAACTTTTGAATCAGTTAGACGGTTTGATTCTAGAGGAGATGACAAGATTAACCAGCTTGTAGGAATTTCCTGCTTATATTAATAAATAAATAAATTATTAATTCGATTTTTTATATTATAAAGGTCATCATGGCGACAAATCGTATTTAATCATTAGATTCTGCTCTGATTCGTCCGCTTCCAGACGTAAAAACGAAACGTCGTATTTTTAAATTCATACGGAGAGAATGACATTATCAGATGATGTGGAACTTGAGGAATTTATAATGTCTAAAGATGATTTGAGTGGTACTGACATTAAGGTAAATTTGTTGACAAAATCTAGGCCTTAAAGGGGCAAACATAATCAATGTGTATTTATTTTACTTTCTGCATGATTTAGGCTATT